AGCGCTCGGAAGGGTCGAAATCATTGAATATCATAATTGGATGTGATTCTGATGAGGTTTGGACCGATTGGAGCGGTTATTGTTAGTGGGCCGATTTCCGTTCTTATGCGGACTTCACCTTTGTTTTGCTATTACAAGTGGTCTAGGAATTTGTATTTTGTTATTAATTAGTGTAGATATTCAGTTGAGTCGTCTAAAAAATTAACTGTCAGCGTTTATATTGTACGTTCTTCCATGTATGCTTCTATAACAAAACAGCTTAAGGTTGATGACCTGCTTGGTAAATAGTTCGAATCAGATGGCATTCGACTATGTTTGGAACAGAAATTTTTCTAATATCATCAAAAAATTTTTGACTGAGACTATTCCCTTTTTACAGAAAATAATTTTTATGAAATTTTTTATCATGTTATACGTCTCCATTTATCGATTAAATTATGAATATCAAGTTATTGTGAGATAAAATCGTACATGGAAGCCGAAAACGGGTTTAAAATACTAATTTTTTTCTCCTTTTCAGATAGTTTATCAATCGTTCTATTTATCAAAAGATGTCTGATTATATTTTGATAAAAGTGATGGTGAACTGCAACCTGTTAGTTTGCAGTTGTTTCACTTTCGATATAGTCTGACTCTAATGTGAATATTCTTAATTCTAGGAAATCACATGTTTTGTAGGGCACATAATTTAAGGTAATTGAAAAAAATCTATTTTAATGTTACTGCATCAATTTTGTCAACCAGATTATTAATAAATCTCGATTACAATAGGTAAAAGTTGAGCGCTGGATCATATCATGTCAGTTTTGTAGAAAATCCTTACAAAATCCTAATAAAATCAGAAGTGCTCGAAAGTCATAGAATTGTCTAGATTTCCAAAAAAGTCTAAGCGAAATGCTAGTAGGGTCCCAACATCTAAGATCCTGCTAGGAACTTATCAAGATACTAATGTTATGCAGGAAATAGATAAAAAAGCGCGTATAATTTTGTCTCAAAGTATAAATAGTGGCTCTCATTTATATCTTTTATTAAAAGTTTTTAGAAGTTCAAGAAAAAAAAAAGAAGAAATTATGTACGACTTCAACACTAAAAGTAACGGAAATGTTTCATATATTTGTTTCAGGTGTTTTGTTCAGTACAAACTTCACTTCAAATTAGTCATCCATCTATTCGCTCTCTTTCCTTAATGACATCACACTAGAGTTAAAATCAGTGGCTGAATTACATCGGATGTATGACATTTAATAAACAAAACACTTTCAGTATTAAGTTTAAATTGTACAGTTTGCTTTTCTAAAAGTTTTAGCATAAAAATATCTAAGTTGTCTTTTGAAAATGCTAAGTGATCGAATTGGCTTTTGTATTTTATTTTGTTCAATATAAGATAGATATAGCAGTTTATGCTCTATTGAACAATTTTTTCTCATGTTTGTTTCTCATTGGATGTTGTCGATGTAGCGATGTGAAGTTATTTTTACTCGTATCATTGGCTCATTGAACGAATGAACAGACATAAAAAAATAAAATTTTCTATTTCTCTATTTAACACGTCTTTTTATCACGATACATACTTTAAAAGATCACTTATAACATTTTAACACACCGTAATACTTTGCTAAATAATAATAAAAAGAAAAATGTTCAATTTGTAACAAATGAAACATGTATGCGTGTCGGTTACATTTTTATTTTATTTTTCTCAGTGTAATGTGTCATGTATTATCAGATTCTTGTTCTCAAATAATATTTCAATGGAAACATTCAACAAAAATTCAAGATTTTTCAAATAAATATCATTGAAAAGATGTCTGAGACTACTGAACAAAAATCTTCAATGGTTACAATAGAAAAATTTAGTAGAAAACGTTCGGCACCCGAAACTACAAAATCAAAACATTCAAAATTAAAAAAGCATCTTAAATCGTATAATAATAATAACAAAAGTCATGAAGATGATACAAGTTCACCAATCAATGGTACACGAATAACAGAATGGAAAGAATATGAAAAATGGAAAGAGGTACGTGGTGATATTGAACCGGCAATGAATTATGTTGAAATAACACAGGAAACTATTGAAGAATTGAAAAAAATTAAAAATATTATTGGCGATTATATTTGTCAATTGTGTAAAGTCAAATATGAAAATGCATTTCAATTAGCTATGCACAAATGTCCAAGAGTTGTACATATTGAATTTCGGTAAGAGAAAATGAACCAATAGAAATTGATTAGTTTAATATTTAAGTACTAACAATGACTGTGTTACTGAGTACTTTCGAATAGACTGATAAATGTGTAAACCGGTAAGTGTCATACATTAGATCTGCACTAGTTAAACGATGAGTAACAAATGATAATCTCAGAAGTGACATCGAGTAGCTGGGAAAATAATTCACCTAGATTTACGATGATTTATCGTTATTTTTTTTCTCTCTACTTGCTAAGTATTGTATACTTAGGATGTCTGAAAACTAATTATTTCTCTATTTTAGCTGCCCTGATTGTGATAAAACTTTCAACTGTCCAGCAAATCTAGCGTCTCACCGTCGCTGGCATAAACCCGAGAATATCCATGATAAACCTCGCTATTCTTCAAGATCAGATTCATGCTCAACATCGTCACTATCAGATACAATCAACGTCAATGAAACAAAGCCTGAAAAGCAAGTGATAACAATTCATAGAAATTTGACTCTTGAAAGACAACACCCCAAATTAGCAACGAATGAAATTGTCGAACCGAATATAAGACAAATATCGAGTTTAATAACAAATCATGAGTCAAACATCAGTTCGTTTCAAAATACATTACCGACTTACTCAGCATCAACATGTTACAGACCTATTCACAACGCACCATTTCATTCTTCTCTCAATATTTCGCCTCCCGTTCATAAAACATCGTTCGATGGTACACTAGATTCTGTTGCGAATAAAACAATAGCAAATTTTTTATCAAGCATAGCGCCATTAAATCGAACATTTGTAAATCCTGTATTAGGCCATATCTTCGATAGACCACAAGATCATTCTCTGCTAACTCAATTTGTTTTAGAACATAATCTTCAATTGTTTCCGACCAACTATAATCATTTAACTACCGCATTTCGTGAATATCAACACAACAATAGCGGCAAGCACTTTCAACAAGCTTGTATATTTTGTTCGGAACAATTTCTTGATTTAAAACGACTGACTCAGCATATTCAGAAAAAACATGCTGTAAAAAGAAAAAACATCCCGAATATTAATACGAGTTCATCTTTAATAGTAGAACAAAATAATTGAAGAAGAATAGAGACAGAATTTGTTGTTCACTATTAAAAATTTATTACCTAAATATTAGAATTGCAGTATTTAATATTTCTTTTTGTAATAAACTATTTATTTGAAAATGTAAAAAATACAGCTAAGTTTTAGAAGAATGTGCACATTTACCAACAAAGATAAAGAGCAAAGAATAGTTATTTGTTGACAGAACTGAACCGATTCTAGTGGATAACGAACAGTATGAAGAAGAAAAATTACTTTTTATTCCATTCTTCTTTATTTTAAAACAAAACAAAAATTATCACCGATTAATTTGGATAGTAAATCGCAGTTATACTTTTTACGTATCCTTACTCTACACTATTTTTAGATAGTAAAATAATAGGGCGGGTCAAATTGTAGGGAGCAAAAAAAATCGATGTTTTACCTATCCTAGCGGTGTTCTACGGGTCGTTTTAAGAAACTTTGCCCAAGGAACTATAGCTCTATCGTGAAAATCGAGCCTCCG